CCCTCCCTCTGCTGTTAAAATGCTTCTACTGCAAGCAGTGTCCAGGGCTCAGTTGGCATGACAGCAATCGACGTCACAGCCTGGTGTCGACATTATCATATGAGACGGCGGTGAACGTGCATTATAAAAGGAATGTTAGCCCCATCATGACAGGGTTTCCATAGGCAGTAAGTAGTATTGTTCATTTTAGTGAGGGCGCTCTGGGTATGTTTCTGGTTCAATCTTGCTCTGAACCATATGAGGGGATCTTGTTAACCACGCTAAAATTAGCTCAAGTGATAGTGGCAACTGCAACAGACCTGATTCTAGAATTGTGGTTGATCAAAGCCCTCTCTGTCCGATGAGATCATGGACGACATTGGTGAAATCTAGTACAGATTTGCGCTCGGGATCGGGCTCTTTCTTAATTAGTCGATATGTCAACTCTTGTCTATTGAGAGTACGTCTAGTTCGATCGATGCCGCTTCGTTCGGTTTTGGCCGAGCGGTACTACCTCTAGACGCTCTATTATTAAGATAATGAGCCGTAGGCCACAATTATGGACTAGACCAAACGTGAATGATTACGTAAAGCAATTTGTCTGGCAGATCTTTTCAGCTGTGCAGCGAGGCCACAGGATATAACCTTTACTTACGTCGTCACAATTGCTCCCCTACACCCATTGCAAGCTACCTCTCGTACGAAAAATAAACTGTGACCCTTTTATTATAGTTAAACTAACAATGGTGATGCCTTCCGTGTTGGTTTTCACTGTCAATTTGGCCAGCAATTCCAACATTGCATGAATTTTTGCAATTTACACAATTTAGAGCCCGAGGTGGTCAGGAATCACCGGAAGTGAATTAGGCAATTCCCGAACCATCAGACCTGTAACTGGAAGAGCCACGGAGTCCCTTAGATGTCTAGTTAGGTTGGTGATATTAATCGGAACTAAAGAGATTAATGTGCTGCCTTCAACAACCGACGTTGGTCAATGCTGTTAGAAATCACTACTAAAAGTACATTGCACAAGAAATGAATGGTAAGACAGTATAGGTTGTTGCTAGTGAGTTTACTCCTGGTACAGAGCCGTTCAATCGACAATCCTTCAACCGGGTCTTCGACGAGTACAACCTTGAGATGTAAGATCAAAATTCAATATCAATTGCATTGCTTAGACTTAATTCATCAGTATTGTTATACTAACTAATGCCCTATGCCAATTAGTTTTGGGAAGGTGGCCTGCACATACGCGTCTAGCAATATGTCAGCGCGACGCGTCCGATAGGAATATTCACTATAATGTCAGGTGAACAAGGGTATCTCGATCTCTGCAAAAGAATCATCGAAGAAGGCGAATTCCGACCCGACCGTACTGGTACCGGTACCGTATCGTTGTTTGCGCCGCCGCAACTCCGATTCGATCTCTCCAACGACGTGTTTCCCCTCCTCACCACCAAAAAGGTCTTCGTCAAGGGGATCATCCATGAGCTTTTATGGTTTGTCCAGGGGTGTACTGATGCCCAAAAACTCACCGATCTCGGAGTGAAGATCTGGGAAGGCAATGGTCTGAGGCAATTCCTTGATTCGGTGGGTCTTAGTCACCACCGTGAGGGCGACTTGGGTCCAGTTTATGGGTTCCAGTGGCGCCATTTCGGAGCCGAGTACGTCGATTGTGACACCGATTACACCGGCCAGGGTGTTGACCAGCTTGCTGAGGTTATCTACAAATTAAAGAACAACCCTTACGACCGGCGCATCATTTTACTGGCATGGAACCCCAAAGCATTTAAAGAGATGGCATTGCCTCCGTGCCACATGTTCTGCCAGTTCTACGTGAACTTCCCTAAGGACGGTGGTCGGCCCAAGCTTCTGTGTCAGATGTACCAGCGGCTGTGCGATATGGGGCTTGGCGTCCCCTTTAATATTGCCCTGTACGCGTTGCTTACACGTATGATTGCGAAGGTGGTAGATATGGACTGTGGTGAGTTTATCCACGTCATGGGAGACGCCCACGTCTACCGCGACCACATCGACGCGTTGAAAGAGCAGATACAACGCCAACCCGCCGACTTCCCCAAACTCAAAATCAACCGTGACGTCACCGACATCGACGACTTTAAGTTCGAAGACTTTGTTATCGAAGACTATCACCCGCAGGCGGCCATTAAGATGAAAATGAGTGTTTAGTGTGGCTGTGTTGATAATGCATTATATTCATGACTATATTATTATTTGGAGATAACCAATTAAGCTGTTTTTATCCCCCCTGATTTTTCTTTTAAACTTGGCTCTACTCCTCAAATGCAAACGGATCAGGCTCCGACCGAGCCACGCGAGTACGCTTCACTCGTGGTGAAGCTGCCGCCAGCTGCGCAGTATTGGTGACGTTCGCCAAGGCTGGACGTTTATTAGGGCGACGCGTCTTGCGCTTTGCGGGGGCAGCATCCTCAGGAGCCCACTCAGGATCATCACTGACTCGGTCAGGCAGTTGTTGGCTCTCCAGCTCGACGCGATCACAGTCAATCAGCGCTGGTGCCGTCTTGGCCGTGGCGCGGGAACTGACTTTGTTTTTGCCTTCTGGGTATTGCTGGGCCTCAACGGTGATTGCTGGCAGTTGAGATTCTCGCTCGCGAGTGATTATGCTTTTCGATGTAGTAGTATCGGTGACCGTCTCAGGCGCCACTGAGCCCGAGCGCTTGCCGGTAGTGGTGGTTCCCAGAGTAGAGATGACGTACTCAAAGGCATTTTCTCCCACCGCGTCGACAAACTTCAGCAGCGACGATCGCCTTAACTTCGCCAGGAGCGGCACCGGCGCGTAATTGACTGGTTTGGTTCGCCGACGATGCGGGCGCCGATCGGTGGCGGCGCTACCCTTAGAGGATTCGAGTGGTGGTTTGGTATCAGTGCTCGTTGAATCTGCCGACTTGTTAGGTGCTGGTAAGGTTGCCTGCAGTTGTTCTGGCGGCGCCATGGAGTTCAGAAGCGATTGGATGATTTGGCGAGAACCCAGAATTGACGTCAGGCTGACGCTCTGATTGAGGCGCGGCCGTTGCTGGGGCGAACCCATCTCGTGTGCTTGCAGTGGCGGTGTCAGTTGACGCTTAGGCGTCAGCGCCGAAAAGTGGGACAGCACTTCCATCAGAATCACGGCATCCGAGCCAAACCGCACCGGCGACGGCGCCGTATCAATATCCAAACGCCTCGCTGGTTGGGTGGTAGTGCGCTTTCCGTGAGTGGGGCTCACGGCCATGGGGCTGCTCGCTTGAGAGCATTGTTGCTCTTCTTGGGTGGGCGATGTTAGTAAAAGCTGCGCCCGCCCCGAAACTGGCTTGGGCGGCTTGACAAACAGCGGTTTCGACGTCGTCGACAGTCTCAGCAGCGACGCTTGGCCACGCAGTTGCGCCCGAAGCCGTGCCCGTTGTTTCATCTGCTCCACTTCCAGTGATTGCACCCTCATCATCAGCTCGAACCGCTGTAGCATTTCCATGCTCGCCTGGTGCAGTTCACGGAGCTGGCCTTTGAGGTCATTCACCTGTTGTTGTAGATCCGATATTAGCTTGTCTTGGTCTTTCCTCTTGCCATCGATCTCGGCGAGGCGCTTTTGGAGCGCCTGGCGCTCCTTGACGAGCGCTTGGTTATGTAGTAAATAACGGGTGTTCAGCTCCTGGAGGTGCACAATCACCAGCTCCTCATCCTGATCAAGTTGGTACCCATCACGTAGCACCAACAGCTTCAGTGATGGCCGGGACAGGCTCCCAAGAACCCCAATCAGTGACTTGCGGGCCATGCGATCTCCCTGATGTTGTCTGTGATGTGTATAGCCGTCGCGTTAGTGCGCGCGCCAAGTACAAACAAACAATAAAAATGACAGTGCCATAGTAGCCATGCGCGCCAGAAACGGCGCTTCATCGCGATGAATTTAGGTGAGGTTGCCAATGAGATGAAGTAACCTTGATACATATTCGATGATACCCTACACTAGATTGTAGGAAACCATTATATTTGATAATGGCGTTGGTACTCATCTTCCGTTGCGAGCCCTGTCGCGCGCCGTTGATCTCGACACTTTGACGACTTACCACACTTACCACCAATGCCTCCTCTGACACTTGAGATCAAAGTCAACGCCATCAAACGGCTTACGAAGGAACGGGGGATCTACGCCCAGGAGGTGAAAGATCAACAAGCACAGGTCCAAGCTCTCAAAGACCAAGATGCCGACGTCTACGAGATCAAGAAGCAAGAGGAAGTGTTGGAAGAAGGCCAGAGAATGATCCCTGAGCTTGAAGACAAGATTGCCACCCATAGGCAAGCACTCAAAGAGTACTTGGAGACGTACCTGGGGGACGAAGATGTGACTGAGGCGAAGGAATTAGTGGCTTAATATGAAAAATAAATGATTAAGGAATTGGCACGAAACATGTAGGCTTGTTAACCTGTAAACGATAATATAGCCGGGGCCATTGAAGCAAAAAGGAAATCTCCCGAGCGTGAGTCGAACACGCGACCTTGAGATGACAATTTCCATTACAGTCTCACGCTCTACCAGCTAAGCTATCGAGAGGTTCTGGGGTGCGTTTAATATTGCTGATTTAAACGGAGCAGACAACAACGGTTAAAGCCGGATTCTCCCCCAAAATGTTAGATTTAGGTTAGTGTGACATTGCGCCTGAAGACGCAATCGAGCTGCTGCATGCATGTAGGGCCCCGAATTTGTGTCGACGGAACGTCCTGCCTGAATGGACCGTCTAGGCAAGCTGATCCGCTCTAAGCCACTTCTCCCAACCCATGTGTCCATTCCAATTGTTAAGGTATTCATTCTCCGAGGGGCAGGACTTGCCTGATGTAACACTATCCCTGAAAAAATATCACCAGGTTACATTGGCGCGACCCATTAATACACACCCATTTCTCGCAACGATGTAAACGAATAATTTCGTGATAAGTTTAATCGAACGTCCTACCTTGAAACCCCGACGCTGCAGGGGTTATTTGGCTCCACGCGTGACTTAACAACCAGGTAAATGTCTTGACATTTGCATGTACTAAAATCTGTTAATTGCCATTCTGGCGTCGGAAAATAATGGCTTCCAATATAGCTGGTGGTTCTACGTTATGAATTAATGATTACGCTATGACTTCGTATATTACAATTGAATCAGTGCTCAAGAATGGTCAAGTTACCAGTAACCACAACATTCTCAAGAACCGACCCATTGGGAACATCAATACGTTGACCATCGTTACAAACAATGATAACGGTACCCTTGAGGGTAACGTTCCGGCCAATGTTAACGTTACCGGTGATGGTCAAGTGGTCCAACTCAAGAATCTTAGGCATGTGGGGGATGTGGTGTTGGAAGTTCAGAACCTTCTTGAAATCGGAGCCCAACTTGATAAGGGGGTTAGCGTAGCCTTCACGAACGGGGTCCAATTTAAGAGCACCATGTTCGAGATAGAACAAGTCAGACTTCACCAACAACAAATCCGAGCAGGTTTTCACAGGCAAGAATCTCGAACGAGGTACCACAACCCCGTGAGCACCTTCAAAGTGGCGAATGGCAGCACCCACAGCAGTTTCCAATTGCAAAACAGAGATCTCATCCTTGCCGCGGACAATAGTCTTTTGGTTGGGGATGATTTCGCTTTCAATGGCGTTTTGTTCGACTAAACGCTTAATAGCACGCAAGTTGATCCACAAGTTATTGGTGTTGAAGTACTTGAACTTCTTGATCAGCTTAAAGTCTTCGACGTGTTCCTTGGGAACTTGGGCAATTTCCAAAAGCCGCACTTCACCGTTGTAGTTGATCAAAGTACCACCCTTCACATCGGCACGAGTCTTATCGGTGAGTTCCATGATATACTCGGCGCCAGTTTCGAGCATGTGGTTCAAAATCTTGGTGTCAACGGTAGCACCCAAGTTGTCACCGTTAGAGACGAACAAAATTTCACGACCTTGAGCAAGCAACGCGTCCAATTCACCCAGGTGAACTAATGACTCAAACAAATCACCGTGACCAGGGGGGTACCACGAGTCCAATTCGTCATCGAACGATTGTGGTACCGGCAACAACGAATCCTTGTAAATTCTGGGGAAACGCGATTGGTTGAAGGTCTTAACACGGATCCGGTGGCCTTGGTACTTCTTGATGATCTTGGCGGTGTCGGCGTCGGTGTTGAACGAGTTCATCAACAACAACGGCACGTCGGCATCGTATTTACGGTTGAGGTGTTCAATTTGTCTCACCAGCAAGTCCAAAAAGGTGTTACCGTCTCTAACTTCAATCACTGACTTTGGACCAACACAACCCATCAGGGTACCCAACCCACCGTTAAGCTTAAGGACGGCAAGCTTAGCGAGGTTTTCCGAGTCATCGGCCAGCGACTCCAATTGCGAGTACTTGACAACTTCGTCGGCCAGAGGCGACTTGATCTTGTCCCAGTCAACGCTGTTACCCGAGGCCTTATCGACGAGGTAGCGTCTAAACAACGCGAAGAACGAGTCCATTTCATTTTCGAATCTCGGTTGCACTTCCTTGTCAGTGACGGTGTCGGCGAGGTGGTTGAGGGCATTTCTCATCTGAGACGCCGCTACCGTGGTAGCAGTGTTATCAAACGCCTAAGCAATTGTTAGTATGGGGTTCAATTGAAGTTCAACGGGGGCTCGGGGCTGAGACTGCCGAGTCTTCCACGTAAACGCCGGTGCTGGTGATCGGGCGTTTCAGGGCCAATTCAGCCGTGGCAACGAGATACGTACATAGGTTGATTGAGTCTTGGTGTGCTTCTTCGGGACCGACATGTTGAATCCTAGTGATAGCGCGGATTTTCGGTGGAATAAATGTCCTTTAGAGAGTGGGGCATGGTGGCTGGTTGCGAGCACGCACACGTTGCATAAAACACGCTTCCATCGAGCTCGCCACCAATCGAGGCACTCGACCGTGCAACCAAGAATGCATATAGAGCATCAGTAAAACTCCATGGTCACATATCACCTGAACCAGGCATTGTCGTGATACAACACTTGCTGCCCACCGAGGACACTCGGCTGAATTGTAATTGCTTCGTTGGCCACATTCCAACGCGCTCATACAATCACGTCCACGAGGCCCCTACGGCATTTTGCATCATCTGTTTTGACACGCCCCTCGTCTATGGTAGGGCAGGAACAGCGACGACCTGCAAGCAATAGCAAACGCGTGGCATCATGTCAAAGCAGTGTTGGGCGAAAAGCAGGCATATACTTCGATTTATGCATCCCGCCTGAGCCGAGCCGGAACTATAGATACCTTCTTGATTCGGGCTATAGATGAGCTAACTAATCATTGTGGAATAACTTTTGCGATACTGAGTCGTTTTATTGTTGAATTGCATGATTTATATCTAGATTTCGACTCCGCCAGGATGAGTTTCTTGATTTCCGGGGTAATAATTAAAGATTTCCGGTATGAAAACTCTATAATTACACATAATAGTCCCCGCACCTCTTTCGCACATCCTACTCAGTTTCGGTGAAGTTCCGACTGAGCGACTCCACGAAAAAGTCAGTGAGTGCCCACACCCCTCATGGACGACTTCACCTTCATCACTGCCGACGTGGTGGAGGGTTCACCAGGCGCCATCGACAGCCTTTCAGACCAGTTTGTCGACGCCGACAATGACACTAGGGTGGAAAACGCTTTGTCCCTTTTCACCGAGTTGGTGATGGCGGTGGACACGACCCTGCTCAGCGTCGACATCGCCATTAACATCATCAACGCCGTTCTCCGCAGCGATGCCATGGCCGAGGTGCTTTGCCGGGTAATTGACATTTACCCTACAACCCCTGCAATCAGCCAATTGCTCACGGCGTGCTACAATGGTGATGTCATCAAGACTGACATCATGGCCCAATTTATCAGCCCAGGCAAATTCAAAGCCGTGCCCGACATTATCCCCGAGGCTACCGTTTCTCGAACAGTTAATACCAAGAAACGGGATCAGTGGTACACCCAAAAGAAATATAATTTGTTCTTTGAGGAAATCGAAGGGTGGTCAAAGTACATCGTGCAATTATACCGAGTGTTTGAGCTTTACAGCAAGGAAAATGTCGATGTCGATAGACAAACAGCATTTGAGCATCTTCGAAGTGCCACCCAAAAGCTTATTGGTCACTACAGCCTCGACCCGAACCGAGCGTTAGAGTGTTTATTGGATGTGGGTGCGTCCTACGTTACCAATGGTTGGCAATTCTTTTTGGATTACCTCAAAACCACTCGCTGGTGGCCAACAACTTTAGCTGACCCTACTAAACCAGGCACGGGTGGCAGTGACACCATTGCTGACATCATCGGTTTATGGCTACAAAAACGATTTGCTGGAGTCAAAATCGACACATATTACTCTGCATTCATTGCCCTCTTGGTTCGTGAGGGCGTGGTCGACTTTGGCAAGATATGGAACTATATTGACGACGCCGACGAAATGAATGAAATCAAAAAGCTCTACGACCGTGACCTTTCCGATCGTGCCTCCAAAGCTGGAGCCAATGCGTTGGCGTTAGCAGCTCCTCTTTTGGATGATGATGATGATGAGCCTTCAGCTGTTGCTGCCGCTAAACCTACGGAAGACTTTCCTACCAAACTTAATCGGAACCATACCATCGATCTATTTCGAAGACTCACCGAAATCGGTTGTTTCGAAATCTCTCGGTTTATGTTGACAACATACCCTCATCTTGGCCTTCTTGAACCTTGTTTTTCAAGCATCAATTGGATGTTCCGGGCCCTCGCAGGGTTTACGATCGAGACTGATGAAAATGCTCAGCGGACTCTCAACATTGATAAAATAACGGCTGAGCTGTCGCTGTTTACCTATGCCTACCCGGACTATATCAAGAACATTCCTTCGTTGGGCCTACTTGATGCTACTGGCAGCTATTACCAATACTCCAAATGTTTAGCTTTAGCAAGTGATGCTAAGTTGCTTTCAAGAGTGTGCCTTGAGGTTCAAACCGAGTTGATGTCCAGTCAGAATGAGACACTTTGGTTCAACTATTTCAAATTATACATTTTCCCAGCAATGTGCCAAACTAAGGACGCCGAGGCGGTGTCTGCTGCATATGAAGTACTTAAAAACTTTCCTATTTCCCTCCGCTACTCCTTATATGGTGACTACGTCAACAGGTTGCGTAAGTCAAATGTCTACCTCAAGTTATCGTACAACCAAGCCGAAAAGGATGCCAAATACTCGCTTAAGCGGTTGTCCAAAGAAAATGCAGACGAGATAATGCAATCTCTTGCTGACATTTGCGCCACCAACCCACTTCCCGCGCTCTCTGTGATCTGTACCCAAGTTGAAAGTTATAGCAACTTGATTTCGCTATTGGTCAATGCAGCTGCACAGTTCACCCCCTACGCGTGGGATTGCTTGACTGCGGTTTTCCTCTCGCGGCTTACAGAGCCTCGTCCGGAGCTTCTGGAGAACGGGCTTCACGAAAGACAATGGCTCACTCTGTTAGCCCAATTTATCGGCGAGATCTGCGCCAGTTACCCCAAGAATATTGACCTTATTACAATTCTTCAATTTGTCGTCAAGCTGTATGCTGAAGGTTTGGTGTCAGGCCTCATTGTCTTCGCTGATATGTTAACTCAAATGGGTGGTATCAAACTGATTGCAAACTTGACTCTTACCCAAGTCAACTACATTAATCTGGGGAGAGCGCTCAGAGAGATTGTTTATGACACTATTCACGATACCCGTGCCAGAAGAACCCGTCTGGGTGAGGCTCTCGTGCAAGCTATCGACGATCAGAACATGACCAATGAAATATTGGTTATGCTTCTGCAGGTGGAGAGGTCAACCATGGCTGAAAACCTGTCATTACCTTTGAAAATCGTGGCGAAAAAGCTCGACCGCCTGGAAGAGTGGATGGAGACTTACAGCACACTCATCACCTACTTTTCACGCGACAAGGAACACCTCTCGCGTACATTGCTTCCTGTGAAAGAACTTGTGGAAACTTACCAAGTACCGTTGGCTGTTGCTGTCGAGGTTTGGCGCCCGTTAGGCCTCGAAGACATCACCGATGTGGCCTCGGAGAAAGTAAAGCTGCTGATTAGCCTGTTGTTTCTGACGTTCTGGTGTCTTTCCCTTTATGACATCAACTACAACCCCGAGTGGTATGATGTTGAACTTGAGCGCGCTGTTCTGTTACGTGATCGGCTCAAGAAGGAGCGTGAACAGGAAAACCGTAATGCCATTACCCGCATGAAAGATCTCCGCCGAAGGGGTCGCGAGGTAGCCACCCCTGATCCCGCCCCCGTGACAAAAGAAGAGTTGGTTGTTCTGGAATTGATCGATCAATTGCCCAGTGATAAAATGAGCCACCGAGAACATGCCGAAGGCATTGACGAACAACTCAGAAAGAAAGCTGATGCATGGAAAGACTGTCTGGACCACATCACCGTGTTTATCGAGTCTTGTCTTCTTCCTCGAGCTATTCACTCCTCGTTTGATGCTGTATTTGCGGCGCGGTTCCTTCTCACCATCAACAGAGTGCTTGATCAGCCTCCGTTCCTGGCGCTTGACGTGTTAGAAGCGCTTGTGGCTAATCATGCCATCAACGGGATGATGTTTGTGTTCACTCCGGTGGAGGCGGAAAACTTGGGGATGTTTTTTGCCGAGTTGTTTTCGAATTTACATCGCTGGTGGGCTCTGGACAAGGATTACGCCGATGGCCACTGCAACGAATCTGAGATATCCCACTCCCAATTCAAGCATCGACTCTTCAATGTTCTGCAAGCGTTGGTTGATGACTTGGTTACCTCCATGACCCAGCTTGAATACATGGCTCGTCACAACTCCATCTTGGTGATCAAAAACGTTCTTCATGGCAACTTCCCTATGGTTATTGAGCAAGCGCATATTTTGGAAAAGGCTTTGACTTATGTTGGTAACAACGAAAAGCTTGAGGACGTCAAGTTAGCCGCTAATGCTATGGTGGGTCACTTCAGAGCCAAGGCTGGTGATCGGGTTCCGGTCTGGGAATTCTACGAAATGAGTGATGAAGAAAAGGCGGAAGCTCAACGTGTCCAAGAGGAGAGAAAGGCTCGCGCTCAACGTAAAGAGGAAAAGGCCCAAACTAAACGCCGCCTCGAGGAAGAAGCCGCACTGCAAAAGGAACGTCAAGCCCGCATGCTCTCTTACGGTCGTCCAAACGCTCCTTCCGGCCCAGCTCTGAAACCTCCTCTGGGTCCCCGAGACGATCGCAGCTACCAGCGTGACACAAAACGGGCACGCTACGAAGGTAAATACGACCGGTACAGTGCGATGTATCTGGGGCTGCTGAAGGATGATAAGGATCGACCAGTACCCTCTAAGGAAGATCAAAAGGAGGACAGAGAATACCAGGGCCCAAGCACCACCAAACGAGACGACTCAACCAAGCCTACCCCCGTATCCCTGCGGCCAGAAACTCCATCGCATCGGGATGACGCCAATGCTGCCAAGCGGCGAGAATCTTTTCACGATGATAAGCGCAAGCGTGATGATGGTCGTCGTGATGATGGCCGTCGTGATGATGGCCGTCGTGATGATGGCCGTCGTGATGATGGTCGTCGCAGCGAGGGTCGCCGTGACGAGGGGCGCAAGGACGATGGTCGCAGGAACGAGGGCCGCCGTGATGAGGGACGCAAAGATGATGGTCGCAGGAACGATAATCGACGCGATGATGGCCGCCGCGATGGGTTTGGCCGGCGTGATATGTGGCGGGAAGGGCGTCGTGATGATACCCGTAGACGTGATTTCAATGATCGTGACTCGCGCCGTGATGATGATCGCCGCAAAGAAGGTGGTCGTAAACAAGACCAGCCCCGGAATGATGGTCGTCGCGGTAACCGCGATGAGCCCGAGGCGAAAGCACCTAGTCTGACCCAAGACCAGCTGAATGTCAACAAGGATTTGGAAGAGAGAATCAAGGAGAAACGACAGGAACTTACCAAACAGCGAGACGAACGTGGCAAATCATCACCGAGCAATTCTTCGGCACCGCCCGCTCGTGCTCCTCTCCCTCCGCAAAATGCCGAATTTAAGGCCAAAGCTGAAAGCCCTTCGACATTTGGGGCGAAGAAGGACAATGGCGCCGGACTGGACGACGTTCCGCCACCGCCTCCTCCTCCACCACCGCCTCCCCCTAGTGGCCCCTCGACTCCTCGCAACGACCGTAAAGGTGACAGAAGAGGTGATCGGAGAGATGATAGAAGAGATGATCGGAGAGACGACCGGAGAGGATTCAGACGTGATCGCGATCGGAACAACGACAGGTTCTACGGTCGTCAAAACTATCGACACTACCGCAGTTAATGAAGTTACTCAAGCTAGTAGCAAAGCATTTATATTTAATAACAATCAACTTTTTCATAGCGAACCAGCTTGTAGTAATGACAGACTCTGTAGATCTTTAACGCGAATCTGGTAAATATCAGCTTGCCTGAACCGAACGGACACTCGCTTGTCCTTTTTCAAGCAGATCGGGGAAGTTACGGCCTTGCTAGCATACAACATGCTGCCGGCTACCGCGTTACTTGAACACCACAAAGGTGAAGGAGGCTAGGGTTTCGTCGCAATCACGCATACAATAAGAAACTTCAATAATAGGCTGCGGCTGACTCCGTCTTCGCTGTATCTACTACCGCACAATCGCGTGAGCGCTCCCTCACCTGCTTTTGCTGACGCTGCTGCACCCCACCAAATTCACCTATTTTAAGTAGCTACGGACGATTATCAGATATGATAAATGAGAAATGTCTGCATCACTATAGAGAGCGAAACTACCCTAATATCCTTTTGAGTAGCGTTATAGACCTCAGGATTTGAGAAAGCAACCATGGTCGCGTGCTCACGTTTCACAGTGCAACGGCCTGCGGTGGTCACTCCCTAAACGACGCGCCTACGAACACCACCATACCGCGCGTCAATCAGATTTTTAATAGGGGCGGGGGCATTCGCGCATAGGCGCTGTTGACATGGGCACGTGTGGCGACAACCGTAGTGACGATGATGGGGTTTGAATCAAACCATATTCATTTGATTGTGGTCTATTTTCGGCACCTTTAACGCTTTGAAACACGGTAACACTTTTATATGGTGGGTGTTGTGTCCTGCACAGAGATACGATTTACTTTTTTATTCTTCGCACCTCCAACAAGACACCTCGTCCAATTCGATCCTGATCCTGAGTTTGGACTTTTTCTTCAGAATCCTCAGAGAACACCTCGATCTGAACCCCCCAAGATGAGTGAAAAAAACGACGATTACTCTTACGACTATGAGTACCTTTACAAGATCGTGTTGATCGGTGATTCTGGCGTCGGGAAGACTAACTTGTTACTGCGGTTCACTCGAGATGAGTTTAATTTGGAACTGCGCTCGACTATTGGGGTCGAGTTTGCCACTCGTACACTTGAAATCGATGGCAAGCGGGTTAAGGCCCAAATTTGGGACACCGCAGGTCAAGAACGGTACCGCGCTATCACCCTGGCATACTACCGAGGCGCGGTGGGGGCGTTGATTGTATACGACATTGCTAAGACCGAATCGTACGAGCTGGTCCTGCGGTGGTTGAAGGAACTTAAGGAATACGCCGATGCCAACATCGTCATCGAACTTGTTGGTAACAAGTCCGACTTGGACCACTTGCGGGCTGTGCCTACCGAGGAGGCCAAGAACTTTGCCAACGAAAACAACTTGTTGTTCACTGAAGCGTCTGCTTTGAGCTCTGACAATGTCGACCTTTCTTTCCACCAACTTTTGAAGAACATCTACGAAATGGTCTCGAAGCATCAACTTGACACCTCGGAACAAAAACCCCAGGCAGGCGGCCCCACTATTTCGCTCACTCCCGCCCCGCAAGAAAAGAAGTCGAAGTCCAGCAGCAACTGCTGTTAAGTTGATGTCAAGCGTGGTGTGATTTGCATAAGAGTGTGTTATGGTCCTATAGAAGTCTAATGTAATTAAGTTAACTATCCCGTTTGCGCTTGACGCCTTTGGCGACAGGTTTGGCGGTGCCGGTGCCCTTCTCAAGCCGTGAGGCAAGTGGGGTGAGCGGCTCCAGCTCGATCACTATTGAAACAACCTGGTCTCCTCGTAACACCATAAGGCCAATATTCCGCGTGTCGTAGTTGGGTTTGTGGGTTTTAACCATTTCAGCGTATGCTTTCTTTGTGAGTCTCTTCTCAACGGTGTCTGCCATCACAAGGTTCATGTGTCCATCGAATGCGAGAAGCGTACCAACAAAATGTCGTCCATCAACGGCTGTGACATCGAGACGGTAGTTTATTAACTGTGACATCTTCATCTTGTGCTGTGATTGTGTGATGGGAATTAGGAGAGCGAGTGTAGCGTGGGCCAGAAATTTCGTGTCGCACAGATGACTGGCGTTATCGTGAGTTTGTGAGCTACATCGACCCACACTACGAAAAACTAAACCGCGCTTGACATCTTACTCTTGTGGTAATTGCGATGAGGTATCACTGAAGCCCTCACCTATCTATATGCTTCTTTTTCTCTGATTGTGGGCAAACCAATGATCACGAACGTCGCCGTATCCAGCAGTTTACACCTCTTTGACCGCCGCAGTCCTTAACAATCATCTCTACTCGTGTCTTATCGCGATGACGTTGTGGGGGTACCATGGCCAATCTTCTTCGGGGAGCGATTAACTACACATGGTGACGCTTTTAGTTATCTTAACCAACTTACGCCTCTTCCGTATTGGGAAACGCAATTGGTTTTTTACACTACGAACAGAACTCACGTGGTGAGACGCGTGTGTGGCAAGCTTCGTAATGATTGCTGAGGAAGGATCCTGGTATCGATGAAGATCCAGCCTGTATCCTTTAGAGACTTGTGTTCTTGAGTACTAATACCTACAATGGATATCACATTTAGCCACCGTAGAATATCGATTTTTGTCCAATTTCGAATGAGGGGTTTCCCTGATATCTGCCGCACAAATATAATTTCCACTAGCCTTGTTGCTACCTTCTTACCCATGCCCGAAGAAACCAAAGAAACTCCCATTGAAGTCACTGCTGACAAGACTGAAGCCACTGAAGCCGCTGATGATGTTGATGTGCCCTCTAAGCGCAATGCTGATGAGGAACAAATCACCACTGAAGCTGAAGCCCCCCCTAAGAAGAGACGGCGGAGAAACTACGATGACGACGTCCCCAAGGAAGAGGAAACTGCCAACAACAAGGGTGACGATGAAGAAGATGATGACGAGGACGACGAGAAGTACGAACACGCGCAGGACGAAGAGGACGATGAAGAAGAGGACGACTTGGAAATTGACGAGTCCAACATCATCACCTCCGGTAGAAGAACGAGAGGCAAGGTGATTGACTTCAAGGAAGCGGCGAAGAAGTTGTCTGAAGACGAAGAAAAGGCCGGTACGACTATTCGTGAAGAGGACGAAGTTGACGAAGAGGATGACGATGAGGATGACGATGCTGAACCCGACTACCAGGAATAGACATCTATGTAGCTTCAAAAGTATAAGATTTGTTCAAGTTCAAAGTGGCGACGGCGCCTTATTTGTGGGAACGTCTTCGTTTCTTACTCTATAATATAAAGAACCATAAGTCTAAACTATTGCGTATTAAATGCTCTGACCTGACATAAACCCAAACGATAAAAAAAAAAAAAACCAAACGTAAACTCAGCTTTGACTCGCCTTTCGCTTACAGCAGAATCGATAGGGGTCGCGGCGTAAAAGCGCTAGAACTCGCGCTAAGTGAAAAAATTCACATACTTGAACTCATAAATCAAACCCTGCTGGAGGGACCGGTCGCTATCCACATCATCATCGTCAGTCAAAATACATTGTAGTAGTATGGGTTCTGATGGATGGACTTTTGAGCGTATTGAATCACCGGATCAAACACTGGCGATTGATAGTTGTGGGGCAGCAGAAAGCCCACGTAACCCGGCATCGGCTGAGTGAACGGAGCCTGAAGCGGGCCATGTGTGGGTACGTAGTTGTGGCTTCCATAAGCCAGCGAATATTGGGTGTACTGCGGCAGAGAGTAAGCCTGGTATGCACCCAGATAGCTTGAGTAGGAGGGAGTCATTGGGGTGGCCTGGTAGTGAGCATCGAAGGGACTCATCGGCAGGGCAACCAGAGTTGGCGGCAACGTGGGAGGAGGCATGGCGACAACAGGTTCGCGGCTCTCCATCCACAGACGCCAGCAATCTTCAAGGGTAAGAATATTCAGTTCAAAATTGACAACGTTCATATTCCATTTGCAGGCGGCTAACCATGCGGCTTCTTGATGGTTGAGCTGAGTCAACTGAAGCCCGGTGGCACCGCACCACAGCTTATTAGTGAAAGTGTTATCGTCGTTGAACTTGTTGGCGAGCACCAACGCCACGATTAGGTGGACAAACACGTCGTGCCCCAGTAACGAGTCGTTGTGGGTCGAACGTGAAGCGTGGAACCGCTGGTTCATGTACTCGAGGCCAATAATGATCGTCAGCTTTGGCAACCGTGTGGCGAAAAGGACCAGAACCATCAACTGCTCGAACTCCTTCGACGGAGTGCGGGGCCGCTTGAGCATGCCGAAAGCACACCACAGGGCAAATGCCGCCATGTGGTTGAGGTCATACTCAAGGACCGAGTTGATCCCCCCCGTGGGCGGCGGAGGCGGAACCGCGGGCGCCGCCATCCCAGGGTAGTGGGACGGCTCGTAAGGATAGGTATGCCCGTAGTAGAACATAACGAACTTACTTAAAAGGTCGTTATGAATTTAGTACGGGATATTGAAGACCAGATGGTGGTGAGAAAATTTTCTTCATTGGGTTCAAAAGTACCTTGGGAGAACGCAGTGTGCATATAGTCGGAGAGTTGAGAAAATCGTTTACTGGTAAGCGTCATACTGAGGATGAGCGAGGTGTACCAACCGTAGCGCGAACGAGCTAAAAATGTGTGACGCTGTCGGCAATGACCCACCTCGCCCCCCGCCGTGATCGTAGCCCCGCTGTCTTCTAAACCGACACTGGTGATGACCTATTGTCTTCGGCAAATGTCCACTTGTTAGGTTCGCGTCAGAGGGCCTAGGCTCATTTTTTTTTTTCTCATGCAACCGAATGAGGCTGCATCGGACGCTTCTGGCATGTGCCCCCTCCTCCCTCAAATGCTCCTTGTTTTAGTTGTTTTTGGGCCGCTATATTGTAGCCAGGATCGTTGGGTTACGCCATAAACTGATTTCGTCCGACCAGAGATCGTGATAGCGAGGAGGGGGCCGTACCGGACACTTCTCGTTTACACCATCCCCTACTGCAGGCAGCCCCAGCCTCCCTGCTAGCATCGCAAACGTGCGTGCTGCCGTTTGCTGGGGGGCTGGGGGAATAGAGTTGCCTGCCTGCGGTAAGGCAATGCCGCCTCGCCGGTAGGGCAGGACGTGTCCAGAGAGGCACGTGTCGGAGTCACCACAATCTGCACTCCCCGTAGCTAAAATGATCACCGGCTATGTGACCCGTACGATCTTGGGAAGGATGATATAATGGTTATGGTAACCCAATAGGAAACTTAAACTTACAAGTGTTACACAAGTCGGATACCGCCGACACATACGAAAAATTGTCGATGAGTTAGGGTGAAGACTTTTCTGATGCACCTGTGGTCGTCGCCACTGGCCGCGAGGTCAGTTGCTTTTCCACGATTCGGAACTGATAAACAGCAACGTACCCTTTCCTCGTTGGAAAAGCAATTTGATTGCGATGAGACACCAGGGTGTCTGTCTTACGGCGTTTTTGTCTATTAATAAGAGTGTTGTCGTGGTCCGAGATCTCCGCGCTGTGATTGGTTAGGGGTGGCCGACACCATTGTTTAGCCGACACACATTATGGCCGAAAAGCGTTCCTAGCCTCTCGTGGTATTTAGCTTTTATGTGGGAAATACAGTACTTGGCTAGTAGTCTATCACGTGTATCATGGTCCGTGGTTGCCCCACAACACACCACTGCTTATTTGTCGTGTAGTCACCGTGTCTAGTCTTGACCGCCACAACGCACTCGGGGAATTCGTCCGCCGGCAGCGAACACATAGTAGCCGCAGTGAGGAACCTCAAGTTGGCATGTTTGGCCGAGTATTTTCCAGGTGTAGAGGTGCTAATCGAAGCCCACGTCCACTTTCTTACCTGGGGCATCGACAAATGCGTCAACTGGCTAACTTTGGCCCCAATGAATTGGAAGAACGCTGCTTTTGTCGGTCCCATGAAAGCAAATCGCTCTAAGCTAGAGGCTGGAAGTTGAAGTGGCGACTTTGGCAGCATATGGAGCTTCGGGCAATGTAAAGTTAACTCCGTTAACTTGGTAAACTTGGCAAAAAATGTGTTCGGGGCACTGTTGTCATGCAACCCCAAATGACGATAGGCACGAATCGTCAAGCGCTTGATCTCGAGGGGCACCGTCAGTATATCGACAAGACGATCGCATTCCAACACTAGTTCTTGAAGCAGTGAAGGCAAATTAACGCTGTGAAGATCAATTGAATCAGCGGCAATTGTCAAGTGTTGCAAATGCAGACCGGCTTCAAAATTAGTATTCAACATGTCTAATTGAAGACACCCAATATATATCAGTTCAAGCAGGGCGGGAAAAAGTGTATTTATCAATCCAAATGAACGGGTAACCACCAGCGCCTCAACTTCACCCAACGAGTTTGTTTGGTTTGTCATCAATTGAAATCGTGTTAGTTTCTGCGGTAAAGTAACTATCGAGTCTATCAGCTGCTCAGAGAAATTCCAGTCGTTCTCATCCCACAAATCAATGTTGGTTATACAATCAAGTGCCAGCAGCACTGACAAATCTGTTACCAGCTTTGTCACCACCAACCGTTGGAGCTCATTCATGTCAACATCCAAAACACATAGGTTTGGAGCAATAATTGTTGCCATACTCAAGCAGTTGTTTCGTAAAAGTAATGTGTGAAGCTTTTCGTATCTGAGAAAGTCCTCGCATTCAGTAAGGTGATTATTGCTAAGATCGATGACCGATACTTCGCTAGGGATTCGTAGTTCCGTCGATGAATTGAGCCCTACATTTCGTAGTCTTAGCGTGTGGAGGTTTTCAGGCAATTGAAGTCGCTCCCACGAAAATGCAGTAGTTGAAGTCAGACTCATACTCAAAATACCAATATCAGTTACCGTAGACGGAATGCTTAAAGTAGCCAGGTCACAATGACATTCAAGTTCATTGATATTTAGATACCTCAATTGAGGACACTTACCGAAGAAGTCCATGTTTGATTCTTTGATGACGAGTGTCTCAAGGCAGATACGACGTAAATTCCGCCCAACAATCAAATCTTGACATGCTTTCAAACTTAATTCACGTAGAGGATATGGACACAGGAATTTGGCTTTCGGAGAATATTGGAGATGTAGCTTGTGTGCGCGATTAATGTCAACAAGTTCTTGAATCATGAGGCTAAAATCTGGACTAATTTGCTTAAACTCTCCTAGTCGGAGAATTCGAAGCCGATCTTGCAGAGCTAGAATCAGATGCCAAATGTAATGAAGACCCCAATCGAGATCGTTGACCACTAGGTATTTGAGCAGATGCAAAGGGAGGATCTCCAGGTCTTCAATGGAACAATTGAATAGCTGCAAATGGGTTATGGGTGGTAGGCTTTCAAGATCCAAACGATAATTGGTTAACAGCAATTTGTTCCACATCGTGTGAGCCGCATTAACCCTTAAGTTGCCAATATATCGATTTGATACCGTTAACGTTTTGAGACGGAATAGATTATATTGAATGTAGTCAAATTGATCTTGACTCATATCAGTGTCAGTAATAGTCAACCTGTGAAGTGTATTCATAGGGATGATCACAGCTTTTCCCACAAACAGCATCAGTACCTGTAGCACATGGGGGTTGGAGTACACAAGTTCTGCTACTTCCACTGCCTCATACTCCTCATTCAAAGTCACATCCAAATGTACTCTGCGAAACCATTCGATCATCAGTCGGTGGGCCAGCTTCACCACTACAAGAGTGTCTTGGATCTGCCTCACTAAGGGATCACCGGGATCAAGACTTAGGGCAAGATTGAACCTCAGCTGTGCATCTGTATATGGATACACCAACCGGATGATATGCATCGACGCCACAAGTTTGTGGAGCGAACCGAGAGATAATATAGTGCCACATCAATCGCATCTGTGCCCGATCGGGACGGCTCATATAGGGGTGAGCATTTGAAAACGATAAACTGTGGGTGAGGCTGAATCGAGCGTTAACGGTGGATTTCTGGAAACGCGCTTTTTTCTTATGAACGTCAAAGTCATATGCTGCAAACCCTTACGTCAAAACCAGAAATACGTGTTAGAGTCTATAGTCAAGCAGTGGGCCGGATGTGGTGGTTGTGAAAACCTAGAGGAGACGTTGATAATTTGGTGACGGTGCGTACGTCGTAAACCTTAATTCTACGAGACACTCAAATGCGCGCAAGGACAAGTAGAAAACGGCGAAGATTGTCTTGTGCCTAGCACAGACACGTAATCCGATAAGTACGCGTAAACTCGGTGGTATTCACCTGGAAGTATCACTGGAGTAAAAGTGGTGAGAGGAACAGTTCCAACAAACGATAGGCTCGCTCAAGAATACACTCGTCAATAAAGATCAGCACCACCGACACGAAAGTGACAGGTAGGATGCGAGTCTAACATCACCATACTTATAGTCAAAAACCAGTATGGCCCATAATGTAGCACCTAGCATCTTAAGACACATAACTCAAGAGGCTACTTTAGATCGATAATCTGTAGCCGTTGATTATGCAGAGTGACATTAGTCATATTTGGTCGCTATACGTGGTAAGTGCAGATTGCGCGACTGCATACGGCTGAATATTTGTAAACAAACCTTCGCGGTTGTTGTCATCTCACCATAAGGGGATAGAAAAATTGGAGGCCACAGTATGGACGGTCAAGAACTTCCTCTCGTCTCCATCAAGAGTCGGAACGATCAGTCCCTGGTGTTCACTGTAAATGGGAACATCATTGACTTCTCGGGGATACGTTATGAGTTTGATGATGTCTTAACTGGGGATGTGGCCCATTTGGCGTCAAATTATAATAATCTCATGTTCATGGGCTCCCCGGGCCTGGGGAAAACTCTGAAGCTTCGTCAGGTGTTAGCCAATCTCGAGGGACAAGTTTCGGCTTACGAGATCGTCAACAATTCATTTTGCGTTGATATAATCGACCCTAAGCATCCTCGTCTGACATCAGGGTTCATGTCAAAGCCGCTCACCTCTGAGGTTATTGATTGGATCTTTGCCAACCGAGTCAAACTGGCGGTGATTCTGAAGTGTCTTGTGATTAATGTTGTGCTGGCTGACGAACAACCAAAAATGCTTGTGGAAATGAATGGCGCTGTGGATGTGAACGGTCTCATTGCCGATGTCTTAGCAGCCGCTGGACTGTGCAAATATGTGGTGTGTTTGGATCCGGCGCATCCCAAACCGGCAACTAAGGCCACTTTATACAAGGTCGCTCGCATTTTCAACAATTTCCGTTCGAAACAACCCACCACTACTCCAACCTCAGAGGTGCCATCATACGCTCGTCCAACCAAGAGCCAGATATCCTCTCGCCAATCACGGTTTAAGGTGGTCAAACCTAAAATTCACAGTGCGTCTGTTGCAATTCGTCGTGCAATTCCGGTTGTAACCGCACGTAATCCATCAGCCTTAGGTCTGCCAATTAGGTTGGTTCAGCCCCGTGGAACTATGCATATCATGAGTCGAGCTCAGGATGCCCTTAGTCAACAAGCTCACATGAAGAGTCAACGTTTAAAATACGAAAATCAAGCTTTGAAGGAACAGGTTGCCCATTTAAAAGCTCTGATTGTGTCGATTCGCAATGCGATCACAACTACCGCTCGCGAATACCATGAGTTCAGAGAACTCTTCGCTAATATTGCTCGTCTGCTGCTTGACCGGGAAAACCTGGCTAAGAACACATATCAAAAGTACCAAGAGGCCCTTACTACGATTGAAAGTCACACCATTCAAATCCAACAGATGAAAGAATACCACAACAATCTGTTGGCTCGCGCCATGGAAGAAGCAGAGCATAATAAGTCCGAACTAGCGAGGTTGCGAGGCATTAACGAACGTCAACTTGACGTCTCCACTTCGGAATTAACTAAAGTCAAGGAAAAACTTGAAACGGAGTTGGCGCAAGTTAGCGCCGAGTTGGTCAATGAACGTGAAAAGCACATGCAACAAATTGAAGCCATCAAAGCTGAACACGCTCAGAATGTCGAAGTTATTCTGCAACAACTTGAACAACATCGACTCAATCACCAAACTGAGTTACAAAACTACCGGTCTCAGCTTGAGGAGGCCAAGCAAAACCAAGCGGAAGCTGAAGGTGCAATGAGTGCAGCGTCCGACAAATGGGAAAGACTTCTCAAAGAGAAAGAAGCTCAGCTTGACGAAGAGTACCGTCGATCCGAACTGCTTCAGCAATTGCTTGAAGAGGAACGAACAGCTCGGAATGGCGCTGACAATGACCAAAATGAGGCATTGAAGAAGCTTGAGGCGAAGCTCGCAGACTCTCTCCACGCCCAAACTCAACTCAAGGAACAATACGAAGCTGAGCTCTTGAAGGCAAACACTGATATTGACAAACTCAGTCACGAATTAGTTCTTCTGCAAGACAAAGCTTCTAAACTTCAAGCTTCCATCGACGAAAGCTCCGCGAATGACTCAAGCCAAGCTTCCACAATCACACAGCTTCAGGCTGAGGTTTCTCAACTACAGCAACGCTTAGCTACCAAGGAAAAAGCCGTTGCCGACTACTCTCAAAGAAATTCAGAGATGGCAGTTGAAACGGCCGATCTTCGCGCTCGTGTCTCTGCCCTCACTCAAAAGCTTGAGTCAACTTTGGATGAATCTCAAGATCACAGCGAGGCAATCCATCAACTCCAGTCCGATAAAGAACAGCTTTCGGCCCAGTTAGCTAATATTCAGGAGGACAGAGCGTCTCTCGATGAAGATAATGAATCACTCCGGTCTCTTCTAGAAACCAAAAAGCAGGAATTGAATGAGAGCATGTCAACCACTAAGCATCTCAATGCTACCATTGCCGAACTCAAGTCGCAGCTTGAATCGACTACTCAAGAGAAAAATAGCATGGCCTCCGAAATGGCTACCATGTCAAAGCCATCATTCTCTACAAGCTTGGAACTTCCACTGTTTAATCCTGAGAATATTTTCGCAGATGCTCAACTTGAGGATGCCCAAAATGGTTCAAATGAGCGACTGGAGCCAGCGCTGGTGCCTCTGCAAGCTTCGAGATCAAGATCGCATTCGCCTAATGTGTTGAAGCCTATGGACAACTATCGCGAAAAGATGTCGCTGATGATGAAGCGGAAGAAGTCCACGTCGCCTACTAAAAAGTCGAAGAAGAAGGCCACTCTCTAATAATTATTCCTTAATTTTAACCAACTCCCATCTGTAAAGATATTTAATGTTTTACGAGATTTAATATAAGCTTATAATTCAATGTACTTAGACGAAAAGATGATGCATTGATTTCGATGGAAAATTTAGTGAGCTAAAACTGACGCTATCATTGAGACGAACCCAAAATACATTTGGAGTCACGGTGATTCGTTTTCAAAATCTTGTTTAGGGTTAACGTGAAAGTACTGCACATCACTCTATATGCACACCAGGCATATAAAGCCATCGCGAAAATTTATTCAGACTTTGGCTCACACCAAGAACTTGTCATCGAAGCTATCGAAGTTACACAATGCTTTGGGGAAAGTCTCCTGCCATCGATGCGGAAACGCGGCGAGTCAACATCTCGTGGACCACTATCATTCCTGTGTGTTTGTTTCAATGGGTTTCGTAAGGGGCTCTAGCAATCTGCTCGTCTGTTTTGACTTTATACCTTCGGGTAGGGTTAGATATGCTATTGCTGACGACGGCTCCCTTAAGTTGGAGTGAGGACTCTGGAATGGTTGAGGTACAAGGCCTGGGTTCGTCTCAGTGTAGGCTTCGGCCAAGTCGGCGATGGGAACGTGGTTCCTAAACCATAGTCATGACAAGTGTGGTGCTTTCGCCATAACCCAATGGAGCTTATTTTGGTGTGGGTCCCTTTCTTTTCGGGCACGCAGTGGTCTGCCTCACGTTACAAAGACATCAAGTATGCTTACTTGGTTTCTTTATAACTTGAGGACGACGCGCTATGCATTGTCAAAGGTGCCGTGCTCTCAGAATTCCACACTGATGAAACATCATACAAACATAGAGTCAAGCTCTGAATGCCACTTATTCAGGATAAAAAGGCTGGAGTGGCTTGAAGAGAGTTGTTATATTTCTGAGTGGATTGGTAGGTTCTAGAATGAGTTTCTCTTTTACGTTGTCTTCTTGAATTTCTCGAATGTCAATTAAAGATGTGATTAGACTATCATGCCTTTATTGTAACTCGATTGAGGAGCGTAATAAGCTCGCGGAGGCATAGTGATTTTCCGTGGTTTGAGAAGTGTGGGGAGCATGGACCCCCGATCGCTCTGCTTCTTCACCACTGTCAAACCTCGTTCAAAATAATCCAAAACCATGTACGGCAAACCCAGGGGACGATGTGGTACCATAAGCTTAACGAAAAGTTCTTCCACATTCACTGGGCGAGTTTCCGGCTTAGTGCTATGCAGTGATGGAACACGAGACAGTTCCACCAGAGAGTTGGGAACGGACACTTTTTCCAGGAGAGTGTCCTCCTCATCAGTTGTAAGTGAATCGCGGGACGCAATACCAGCACCAACTGATTTATCTATGATCGGTTCATGAGTTGAATCCAACTCCCTTTTGGGTGTAATCTGAGTTCTTTCCATCGTGTCACACAATCTAGTAAGATCATTGTGTACTTCCTCGGTAATCGGTTCGTCACTGATCGGTTTGATAACTTCCTGGCAATCTTCATCTCCAATTGTTGAAAGAATGTTGTCACCAGTGGTTTTCAACGCCGATGTCTTCTGTTCAACACTCGCTGTATTCTTTGGATCCTGCTGAGCTTCAAATGACTCATCGATTGCTTCGTATGACATATCGTAATCACTGTTGTTATGGTGTTCAAATGAGGAATGTCTATCTTTCACTCCAACAGTTGAATCTAGGCTGTCTCGAGAAGTTCTTCTATGAGCATTCTCAACACTGAACGAACTGTTTCCCAGGTTCCGCGACAGTGAGCCACTAGCGTCATTGCTGCCTTGACTGTTTCGGGGAGTCGATTGACTTTGCGATAAACGTTGAATGAATGGACTTGGTTCTGAGCTGATTCGTTTCTCACCCAGTCGCTGTCGGTCACCTAATGAGCGCCGCTTACCCAATTTCAACTCGATTAGGTTGCCTCCTGCCAGAATGTCGAACAGTGCCAGTACGGCTCGGGCAGTGTGGAATTGGCGCAACCCGCCAGGGGTTGCAGAATTAGTACCCGAGCTAATTCGGCGACTGGTCGAGGGACTGGTGGTATCACGATCCATTGCTGCTTGTAGCTTCTCAAATTCATGCTCAAGCTCAGGATCGGCGGGGATCCATGACTCCGAAACGCCCGATCGGATGATGGCCATTGCGTTGCTTATGATTTTCCAATGGCTGGTGCATTCATCCAGTCGCCAACTTGCCAGCACAACTTGCGGCTTTGTCGCCTCAACTAATTGAGTATATGCTTGGCGCCAATGGGTATCCACAAAATCGGCTTTGATTCGTTGCATTTCTGTCTGTAAAAATTCCCATCGTTGGAAAAGGATTTCGTAATTGTCCACGTGTTCGTTTCTCATCATCTCGTGCTCACCCTGGCACATATTGTTAAGCTCGTCCAACTTTGCCGGCAAAATATCGAGCGATATTATAACTGCGTTAATCCGTGACTCGGCCATAACGTAATCTTGGTAAGCTTCTGTATGTTGGGGGTTGACTGTTGGTAATGTTCTTAGTTTGTTGCTTGTCGGAGAGTCATTGATTTTGAGATTTGAGCACACTTCAGTGAAATCGGAACCAAAATATGGCGGGTGATCTGAGATGGTACGCTCGCGAATCTTGACGACAATTTTAATCAAATCCTCAATCTCTCGTGTGATTCCTGTAATTGTTGATTCATTATCAGCAAAGGCCATGGCAGTATCCAAATTTCGCTTGTAGTACAATACTACTTTCTTTACCTCGAGGATGAGGTCGCTGACCTCATCAAACTCGGTAAGAAGAAATTCCAGCACAGAAGTCTCCACTACCGATTCGAGAGTGTTGAGTAACTGGCTCATCAAGGTGTCGATATTGTCACAGGTTCGAACGATATCAAGGATGGCATCTCTCCCCTCCAAATACCAAGCTAGCTCATGATCCGGGGATAGTACCAGTACTAAAAGATCCAGCAAGCTGTCTAAATATGTCACGATGTCCAGAAGTACATATTTGATGTGATCTTCGGAGGGGATGTCCACCATAAGCTCATCAAAGGGGAGCATCTTGGGGCGTGCCTCAAGCACAACGGAAAGAGGGGTGGATGACATCTCCAGCTAATAAACGGGCACGACACAATCGACCACAGACGTCGTGATATTTAATCACCGTGGTGTCAGGTATTTGGTAAGGAAAAACTCAGTGGGAGTGTATGTGGTGCGGGAACGCGTTATGTGTCGATAGCCACGCTCACTGTACATAAATGCGGTCGCGTAAATCGGCAGATCTAACCCAAACGTTGAATTAAGAGGTGAGCTAACCGGTAGTATGAGGTTGCTTAGAGGTTGTGAAGAAACTAAAGAAGTGGACAGAGTCAAGAGATCGAATCAATTTCGCCGACTAACTTGCGGCTTGGAATTCGCTTATAGTTTGATGGTCTCGCGCTGTTTGAAGTTCCATAACACAGAATGCTAGCCGGCAAAAAAGAGGCTTATGATTAGATCACGATATATAGGTACCACTCAAGGTGACTTCAATCACAAATAATTTGACTGATAACTTGATTTTAGGCTGAAAGTCAAACTCCTAGAAACGACCCATACTTCCCACACCTACATCCAGTCAGTGTGTATCACCACTCGTGGGGTGTAACGTGGGATAGACTCTACACGCATCGTGCGACGCTCAGAGGTGGTGACTGGAAAACTACCCAATGCAGCTGTAAGGTACGCGATAAGAAGAATCTCGCAAAGGGTATGATCACAGCTAGTACCACTGATAACGGTTCGTTGGATTGATCACCTACACCTTCCAAAACTTTGACAACTTTCATCACATGCTTTGCGTACGCAAACGGTGATGCAGTTTAGACGACGGTTTCGACGCTGCGACTAATGCAGGATCGAAGAGCGGTATAATTTTTAGATCAGCAGGAAAAGAAAAAAGTGTCTATCAGAGATTTATATTTTAGCGACCTTGGTTCTAGTTACCGTCTTCTCGGGCCACGAGGCTTGTTAAACTTCAAGCCCACCTTGTTTTCGTCCTTGACGGTATCAGAGACAGGATTGAACTGAGTGGTCTCTAACTCGTCCAAGTCACCGACTTCGATGTTTTTTGTGATATCGATTCCCAGCTGTTTCAAGTGGTTGATCAATCCCAGCTTAAAAGACGCGTATAGCATTCTTTGCTTCACCTTCGACCCCAGAGGGCAGCTATAGATGAAAGCGGTGTTGCCGTCGGTGTACTGATAAATTGCATACTGCGGTTGGACATCGTCGGAGGTGTGGGCTTCCAACACCGACACCAACGACTCAGGAGTCACCGCCGATTTAGACCCTTGCAATGCCAATTGTTCGCGGTCTAAGTCAATTCTGAACACGACCACTTGGCCTTGTTTGCTGAAATCGGCAAATGCCAGTTCGAGTGACAGCTCAAACGGGTACAAAAGGTTATCCTGAGTCCCCATAGAAGCCAATTGGCGGTTACCCACCCCCAAGTTTTCCATGCGGTTGATGGTGGACACCACCCGTTCGTCCTCAGTCATGACCCCGGCAGTATCGTTGTCACCAATGCTGCGTTGGTAGTACTGGTGGGTAAGCTCCTCAAGGTCAGTCCAAGCGAAGGTCTTGTTTTTGGGGAACTTGCCCAGGCCAAGTGACAGAAGCAAGGTATTCTTTGTCAGGGCGTACAACATCTTCTGGCGAATGTGGGCGTCATCGGGGATGAACAGGATAAATATATAATTCCCCGAATCTTCCGAGGGGATTATAATGTAGCGAGGGCTGGGGTAGGTGGACTTGGCGTACTGGTGCACCGTGTCGAAGTGGGCAGAAAGACTGGCACCCGCGGCGCCCGAGAAGTCGGTGTCGGGCACCAACTGAGTCGAGTCATCGTTGACAACGACAACAAGGGGTTGGTCAAGCGAATGAAACGCCTCCACAAGCTCAGGAGCGACGGCGATCCCCAGTTGAGTCGACATTGGGTGCGGAGTGCGTGGAGAGCCAAGTGACCGGCAAATGTCGCACGCTTGTACACTGATAATGCGGCCCGACTCAGCACTTAGCAGCACTCTGTCGCCGAGAGCCAAATATACTACAAAAATGTTATAAATTTTTTTTACACCTGGGGGGGTAGGCGGTTGCTTATTATCACAACCCAAAAGTTATAGTTACACAAAAATTTATCATGCTTCGTTGGAAAGAAAAAACGGCTTGCTACTACGAGGCCTTTCAAATGAGCTCAACGTAGTTGGCGGGGAAAATCCCCACCTGGCCGTTGATTCTGCCGGTCCACCAATCGTCCGTGGAGTTCGACTTTTCCACGATGTCGATGACGTCGCCCTTGGCAAACGGGAGATCGCCGCCTTGCTCGCCCTTGAACGTGTAGAGCGCGATGGCCTGGGTGGCATTGGTTTTGGCAGCGCCGCCAAAGTTCGGTTTCGAAGATGCTGGCGGTCTCAGTGGGCCGTCAAGCCGGGTAGATGCCATCCGCAGGCCCACGCGGTCAACGTCGTCGTAGCCGCCGCCGCGTCGGTCGTATAGGTCGTCTTCCCACCCCAGACCACCCCGGGTAGAATTGGTGCGCTGGTTAGATCGGCCGCCTCCGTAGGAGTTGATGTGGTTTCGACGCCGTCCCTCGTCCCAAGAGTCGTCAGAGTCGGAGTCGGAGTATTCAGAACGACGGTTGCGCCGACTCAGGCCGCCGCCGTAGCCACCGCGGCGAGAGTACTCACTGGTGGAGTCGCTGAAGGTGGTGGGGATGTCGTCATAGTAGTCATCGTCGTAAAAGTCTTCGTCCTCGTAGACACCACGGTTGTTGAACACCCGCAGTCTCAACACTCTCATGAGGGGGTCGGCGCCGGGCGGCGGCTTCACTTGGCCCGAAAGAATGTTGCGGGCCTTGCAGTTGTTGCCGTAGAACTTACGATTGGCCTCACGCCGCTCGGCGATGGCCAGCCCCTCTAGCGACACCCCGGCGAAAAGCCCCTTAGTTCTCAGGTAGGCGAACACCGCCGATACCGCCTTAAGCGACGCTGACCCCGCCACTTCC